CACAATAATTTAAAAAACGCCTAGGGGTATTTGCCCACTGTACCTCCATACCAAATTTCAGGACCTTAGGCCCTAAAATGAAGAAGCTGAATCCATTTAAAGATATGGCAGGAGGAGAAGGAGAAGGAGAAGAAGAAACATCAGAAAAAGCAATATGGTTTCACCACACCACTTCGTGGTGTGGTGAACCCATAAATACAATGAAGTGGCATTTATAACACGCCTCGGTGACGCGATTCTCTTTTGAATTTGGAAAGAGTGATGATCATGGTGTCTGTTTTGTTTATGGTGATGCTTGTTTACGTATGTGAACCAGTCATAAGTTTCTCACGAGGATTTGATAATAAACATGCTCTTAACTTGAAATCATGACCTGATTTGAATAAATTATGTTTAGTGATGTTCACTTTCACTGAACTTCAGATATGGCAAGTACAAATGTACTATATTCCGGCAGCAATACCACTATGAAATTGTATAGATTCCATTAATTATGCGAGTTAGGTCTTCATTTACAAAATCTGCCAAATATCTTGTCATTCTCAATTATATGTATGTCCCAAGTGTTTCATAGCCCTAATATTGAACACAGCAGATTTATAGAAGTTCATTAATTATGCAAATTAGATCCAGATTTGCATAATTGTAATTCAATTATGTCAAGCATCACTTAAGCTATATACATACCAAAAATCACGAGAATCCGTCGACGAGATTTTTAGTTATCCTGTCTTTAATATTTTTTAAACAACCTGTCCTGCAGTTCCAGAACAAGCTGCTAGGGGGCCTTCACTGGCAAGACTTCTTTCCAAGCACAAGAGCTACCAACCATCCAAAATTCATGACCCTAGCATGTCCTAGTGGGGCCAGGGGGCCCAAAATCTAATTATTTTGAGTTGTCATCAAGACCTACCCACCTACATGTTTCAGACAGACAGACAGACAGACACACACACACACACACACACACACACTCTCTCTCTCTCTCTCTCTCTCTCTCTCTCTCATTCACTTACTATCTTGTTTAGAGTCAGACAGACACAAAAACCTCTTGGCGAAGGTACATGTAATTATTGGGACTTACTGGAAGGGGGAAGACCGGATGTCCAGCCTGAATGTCTGTTCCTCCTACATACAATGGCAAGGTCAGGTCGATGAACGTCTCTGTGTTTGACTGCTGGTTGTTGTTGACATAGTCTCTTCGCTCAGGCACGATGATGGCAAGGAAGTTATGGATTCGCAAAATAACCACCTGGCAAGAAATGGGCATATCGTGTAGTAGTAGAATCACAGTTATACATCCTCAGTATGCAAAATCTTTGCTGCAAATTGAAGAAAACATTGCCATCGGGCATCATCAAGTACCGGCCTCTACATGTATGTTATGCGGCCAAAGTTTCACCCAGAAAACATTGCAAGAACAATTCTTGCTAGTTTTTGTGCATTTTATTGTTAGTATATTGTTATATAATCATACCATTACATCATACATAATATTCCAATTATAAAATCAAGGATCATATTAATTCAATCTTGGTTACTCGGCAATCACCATCTAGTGGAGAGAGAGCCTAACAAGGTTATCAGAACGTACCTCCCACCAGTTCCCATCAGCATAGTCCCTGAACTTTGTCTGGACTCTCAGGTTGTGGTAGTCACCATTGCCGGGCTGCTGAGTCTTCATTTCTGCAATCAGGTATCCTCTGTGCATGTAGAGGGCCAGGTAGTTGTCTGGGTTTCTCTTGTTGTTGGCGCTGTAGTACAGGATCCCCTCTGTGGCCTCTGCTCGGAACTGGCAGGTCAGGACAAAGCTGAGTAGAAGAAAATCAATAAGCATTATTTTAATTACAGAGTTTGTAAACTTTTGAACAAGAAAAACGTGTCCATAAGTGACAATTCTCCATCAAGCTTCATAGTTGCCTTCATGAGAAGGTTATAAAATCAGTCTGCTTTAGTGTGGGAGACTGGGGATTTAGCAGCATACATGTAACTCTTGAAGGCATGGATTTTTGGCAGGGAGGTTACCGTTGAGGAGACCAATGTCAAGTGCAAAAATGGGATTCGAGGGGGGGGTGTCCGTACATCACTGCAGAGGACCTTTTGTGTTTGTCGCTTGTTAGTAGGATAGTACTGTAGTACATTTTCGTACATGGACTCATGGAGGCAATCACTCATCATTAAGATTTTCAGCAACTCACCTTGTCCTGAAGTACTTTGTCATTGTTTCAGATGACAAATTATAGGAGATAAAACTGTTTCCATGGCGACCAAAGTTAACGCCCTCCCTGCTGTATGTAGGTTGGAATGGGTCTGCACAATGGGGAGGTGCCACTGTCAGGCTGGGTGGGGGCAGCGTGGGAGCAGTGGCATTTTGTGCTGGGTCCAGCCCACTAAGATACATCCCTCTCTGAGACAGAACAGTGGCAGGGTCCCAAAAGTCCAGCTCACTGTGAGGAACACAGAAACATGGGCTATAGGTGTGTTGATCAGGCCTCACAGACCTCATTATACATGTACATGTATGGATAACATTGGCAACATGAATTTTCGCCCATTCAAAAAAGGAAAAAGTGTCTGTAGGACAGAACTCTCCATAAAGTACGTCATGTGTGGTTAGGCATAGTGTTTGATACTAATGTCAGTTTGAACATCTGAGTTGGAACAAATCTTACATTTTACAAATTTTAATGTATTGAGCTCTCTTATGTATGCAAGCATTTAACATACATGTAAGGCCAAAGCATGTTTTGTCCTCCATAAATTATCAAATGCACAAGGGCAAAAAAAAACATGGCAGGCAAAAAAAAACAAGATGGTAAACAAGAATTGAGGTGACAAAATATGGTCTCACAAAAAACAGGTCTTTTACTTCTGTATTGAACAGTATTACCTGTCCTTGTAGATGTGTATAACATTCTATTACATTCTATTAACTAGAACAAAGAAAAGAGCTTATCGTACTATCATACATGTATTACTAAATACTAACCAGGGTACTATTTATATGAAACACCTTAGACTGTCAACACTTGTCATCAAACGTGTCTCACTGAGCAATTACCTCAAGTTGGATCCCTGGTGGTCTCTGATTTTAGAGACTGCCTACCAGAACACAGAGTAGCTCATAAACTTAACTGTCCAGAAGCCGTACTCTACCTATACTTTGCCAACTATTACAACATAAATTTGTCTCTGAAGCGACTTTGAAAAAACCCCAGCTATTCTAAAGTTTTCTGTGGTTCAAATTTTTGATTTGCAGTTTTTTGAGCCACACTTCATGATTCATTAATGTCATAGGCCGTGTTTAAGTGGAATCATCCAAGGCGGTTTACATGTGGTTTACCCCGAAGCCGGTTTCAAGTGGCTCCATCTGAACGCTCCGAAATCACATTGAAAGCGCCTTGATCCCAAGCCACTTCTAGAGGTGGTTTCAAATCAGTTTTCCCGCATCGCGATTTGCGTCTGAACGCAAAGTGATTTCAATGTAACTTCGCCTGGTCATGAATTACGTGGTGATATTTCTTTATTTATATGCAATACCAACTTTTACGTGGCAGCAATTTAAAGAGCAGTAATGGTCGAATAATGTGTCCATTCTAGGGCGAGCTTCACCGCCTCTGGAGGGACCACCTCGGCATTCGGCCGAGATACGCTGGGAGGGGGGCACCAGCAAGCAGGTCGTTGACCTCTGAGATTAATAACACGCCACCTTGCGTGTTATCATCAAACAGCAATACTGTAAATGTAGCTCAAGCGTATTGTGATCGGACACGGTTTCACAGGTGTGTGTGGCACGTGGACTAGATGTGAGGAATGTGAGTTACCCGAATCGCGGTTTGGGTGATTCCACTTAAACACGGCCATAGAACCCATCATACTTATTTTTCTCACCTGCCATTAACCCTGACATCCTGCATGCCACCTGTGTAGGAAGCAACCACAGGGCACACCTCACACCTGTCCACCTTCTCCTGCAGGGTGTGGTCTACACCTGCCAGATACAGGTGTGCTGAGGACAGTGTCACTGACAGTACACTTAATGCCCCATCATTCCCATCCACCTGTACTGATACACTGAAAAAATAAGAACAAAAGTCAAGTGTGGCATGTAATCTATCTGACAGGGTACATAAAGTCTTCTCAAGATTGTCACACAGTCAGGATCTTCCTACAATTATTTACACTGCACGACCAGTTTTTCCGTCTATTTATCTATTTATTACATATGTACCTCCATGACGTGACATTTTCAGTTGCGTTTGTCAGTCTGTCTGTTAGTCAACGAAATAACTCAGGAACGGCTCGATGGATCGGTCTCATACTTGGTGTGTCAGTAGGATGTGGCGAAACCTGGAAATGATTAGATTTTGGGCCCTGGACTTTCAAATACCACAAGTATGAAATTCCAGGCAGGTATCATTACAAAATTATAAAATTTTCTCATGAATTATGCAAATTTTATCTGCCTGTGTTTCTCTCGTTCTCAATTACCAATGTCACAAGCTTCAATAGTCCTATCATGAAATGCAGCTGATTTATGGAATTTCCCCATAAATTATGCAAATTACATCCATATTTGCATATTTGTCACAAAATTATATCAAGCATCACATAAGCTACAAATGTACCTACATACCATAAATCACGACGATCTGTCAACCGGTTCTTGAGTTATCCTCTTTTGAATATTTTCAAACATATAGCCCTGGAGTTCCAGAGCAAGCCGCAAGGGGTCCAAACTCACGTCACTTCTTCCACAGCACAAGACCAATCTACCACCAACCAAATTTTGTCACCCTAGCATGTCTACATCGTGAGATATCAAAACCGGAATTTCAGCTGCAGTACCATAACAAGCAGCTAGGGTGTCCAAAATCTAATCATTATAAGTTATCGTGTTTACAGACACACACACACACACACACACACACACATACATGAACGCCTCTGAAAACATAACTTCTTGGCAAAGGTTCCAACTTCCAACCATTGTCTGGCGAAGATCAAGAGGCCATGGTCGGCTGCATATTGTATGTGTGACAGAGGCTTTATACATGATGTATACTAGTATTGATTATGGGCCTAAGATACTGTCTGAAGAACTGCTCACCTCCCTGCAGTTATATTGAGTTCCACTAGGTGCCACTGTTGATCCACCAGCAGGCTGCTGCTGGGCCTCAGCACCTGGGCCTGGCCCTGAGCTGGCTGATACACACCAAATAGGTGCCCATTGTACAGGGCCAGATAAAAAAAGCTCTCCTGCAGTGGGAATTGAATTCAAAGAGTACCATTTTAATGTAAGAAAAGTATTGTGAAAATTTGTGATTCCTAAGGCTTTGTGACAGCTGTTCACATTCTGGATGTGCATTATGAAAGCCTTAGTATGAATAACCAAAAGTTCTTCATTTTAAAGGATCAAGATTTTATGGAAGAGGTTAAACCTTTTTTGAGACAAGAAATGGACTCACTTTTCTTCAGGGTAATCTAACACCAGCTGTAACACATTTAACTTTACAGCTTGTAACACATTCTAGTTGTAAGTAGAAAAAAAATCTCTGTGTTACATGTACGTAGGAGATAACAGATTTACTGTGTCTGTGTTGTCTTCAGCATACAGTAGCACCCCATTTAACTCCCTCGGCTTCAGCTGAAATCCAAACTCTGCAGCTCCATTGAAGTCTAAGGGAACAGCCAGCTGGGAAAAGGAGCTGTCACCATGGAAACCAACTCCAGGCACAACCTGTATGAACACATCAAAAGCGAATGAGCGTGATCAAAGAGATAATCAAGCTTTTAACTACTCACACATATATAGCAGTGATAAGTGAATTTTGCTCAACACAGCCATGCCAACAGTACAGTCTTTTGAGGGGTCTCCAGAAAATGCAACAAGGCTGAGGCAATAAAAATCATTGCCAAGGCGATGACTGAAAAATATATATTATTTCATGTGGTGGAGCTAGCAATCTACATTACAAAACGGATTTCCATATCTTATAAACACATGCATGTAGTGAAGTTTACAGGCTGGATGGAGGAGGTGTGGGGCAATATACCAAATACACGTATAGGAGGAATCAGCCGTTCTTCCGGGCCCAGCAATATAAAAATTTTATGATTACATACTTACTTACTTTACTTTGGTAAGTGGGACTTTGGTTGAGTTCCCACTCTAACCAAACTAATAAACCATGATCCACTTCACTCTATCCTCCACGAGAGACTGGATTTTACGTCTGATCTGAAGCTGGGACTTTTTTTACCTTTTGTGGGTTCCCAAAGGATGGATAATTTCTTTTCTCTGTGTGATCTGTTTTTAACTCACCCCCACCGGCCTAAATGTTCTTGGGTAGGGAATGTCAGATTCCTGATCAAGTGGTTATTGGCCAAAGACAGCTGTGCTCTCTGTCCATGGTGTGGGGAGAAGACAGATGACCACTAATTAATCATGCCAGGCAGCTGGTGTAAGTTACCTGCTTGATCCAAAAACCACATGGCCGAAGGTTACCTCAGAACCAATTCCCTAGGGAATGCATTCGTGCAATTTTTGAAATTCTTTCAAAGTGACCGTAGTACTTGCACAAATGCCTCCGCCCCAAAGGCGTCGCCAAAAATAAGCAACATGTGTCCACAGGTGACAATTCTCTGTGAATTTTGCAGTTTGGGAACAGTATGATCAAGGTCATTGTAGGCGAAATGTCCTTGGTATGATGTAAACAGTGTGTGAGCACTTAACAACCGGTAACAATGTGTCGTAAAAATGGTAAATTACATATTATAAATCCCTGGTCAAATACAAGATCTAGCCTGACTGAAATCACGCTCCTGGCGGCCACCCGCCCCAAGTTGGCCACCCCCTTGTTTGTCTCTAGTGAATATTTGTGAATTGTAATACATGCAGTAGTACTGCAGTGTGCCGGATGCACACTTTACAGGGGACCACTTGCTGTAGCCTACAAATTACAAGTGGAAGTGGAATAAAAGAAAAAAATGGAAAAAAAAGTTTGAAAAGAACTCTGGTTTGTCTTCACTTTATTTGCATATCAATCAATAGGTTGTGCTTATAAACCTGCATTTCCCCTCTGGTCTCTCAGTCACTGACGAAAGCTAGTGGATACTAGCTGAAACGTCTGACGTTTTCAAAATCATATCCAGTTGCTTGAGTAACTGCTTTTTGGCGTATTGTATTACCTGGATGTCTAACCTTCATCGACGTAACTCTGGTTTGTCTTTGCTACATTTGTAGACACAATAAACCAGACAAGACAAATTTGAATTTGAATTGATTTTGAGTTTATTTCAATTGACAATTAGCTTACACAGCAATACCGTTATCTGACTCAGCTTTATTGTCTTTGTTATAAAAAGTACATGTACATGATTGTGATCATGTCACAGGAAGCTAATGTTGCTGCACATATTCAATCAACTTTAAGTTTTAATTTATAGAAAGTGCACTTCAATTGACACTGTGTTCCTTCCTTTACAATTATCTGCGAAATTTCAGCTTTTTTAAAAGCTTTCTTGTTTTAGATAAGACCTACCGGTATATGACTAAATATGTTTCTATAGCTGCAATGATTCATCACCAAGGACAGCACTCATACACACATTCCTGGATAATATTGTTATTTTTTGTTTATTTATGGCTTCACCACATAACGAAGTGGTGAAACATATCATTTGTTTTCTCTCATATTTCTGCTTCTTCTTCTTCTCTTTCTTCAAATGGATTCAACTTTGGCCATTTTTCAGCCAAATGACTTGAAATTTGGCATGGAGTTTTTTTCATTTTTTTTAAACGGGTCTTCAAAATTGTTGGTAACGGGAGCATGGTATTTTCCCATATATGCAAATATAATTCATTAATATATGCAAGATTTATGCACACATGCAAACACATGCACACATTACTACAACTTGTGTACCCCAAGTATCATAAGTAATTCATTCTACATATAACGTTACCCCTTTGCACTCTCATTCTTTCTACCTCAACCTTAGGCTCTCCCACACACCCCTGCTCACTCTTACGCACCCTGCGCACTCTCATGCAACCTGTGCACTCCCACGCACCCTGTGCACTCTCATTCAACCTCCCCGAACCTGATGCACCCTCACACACCCTGTGCACCCCCATGCACCCTGTGCACCCCCATGCACCCTGTGCACTCTCATTCAAACTCCCCGAACCTGATGCACCCTCACGCACCCTGTGCACCCCCATGCACCCTATGCACCCTGTTCACTCCCATGCCCCCTGCCCACTCTCATTCAACCTTCTTAAACCTGATGCACCCTGTGCACTCTTATTCAACCCTCTTAAACCTGATGCACCCCCACGCACCCTGTGCACTCCCATTCAACCTTCTTAAACCTGATGCACCCCCATCGCACCCTGTGCACTCTCATTCAACCTTCTTAAAATTGATGCCACCCCACTGCAACCTGTGCACTCCCATTCAACCTTCTTAAACCTGATGCACCCTCACGCACCCTGTG